ATCTGATCAAAAATAATTACATTGTGCAATCACAATTAGAATACAGTAGTTATGTGTAGCCGTAATAGAAACATGATTAGTCTGGGAGAACAGAATGCATGTTCATTTAAGATAGGCTCGTAGTGATATGACTCTGACATAAAGGTCCCGCTTGTTTGAAACATTAATTCAAGAGCTTGTTTGTTTTTCTAAAATGCCATTGGATGCAGGCAACACTTTGAAATAAATGGAACTAGATACCTATATAACTAAGGAGGCTTCTACTTTGATCCTTCCTCACTAAGACTTTGTGAAAGAGGATTAGTTGGGAGTAAGGTGTTTGGTGCTTGTACTATGTGGGTTAATGGTGGTAGCCTTCTCTTACCTTTGTAAGTCCTCGTCAACATTCACCCTATCTACATGAAGGCCTCTTGCTGGTTTGACACTGAAGGATCCACCTTCCCTATCTTTCAGTAAATTGCAAGTTCATCTATCCCTTTCATTATAAATCATTGAATTGCTTTACTTGATTCAAACTGCTATCTTGCAGTCATACACGTGCTTAAACTCTTTACCTTGAGCAAGCATAATACGCTTCAATTTCTCAATATTATGCGCCAAAATATTACCTAACCCATTGTTGCAAAAAGGTGACTCACTGAAAACTGGGTACACTGATTCTTAAGTGAGCATCCTTAAATAGCCACGTTTAATTCGTCCTTTGCTTACAGTGTTCTGCTTCAGTATCATCTAGTGATTTTTTTTTTTTTTAAATGACTGATCTTTAAGTTCTTAGAAATGCAAGCAGCTCAAGATCATGTTTAGAAACCTCAGTGACTGTAGCTGTGCAGTAGCAGCACCACTATGATGGCAGAAATGTGGGCATTTATAATTAGAATGTCTGAGTTATTTATGCTTGCGGTACACACTGATGGGTCAGAAATTCGACCTGTAGTAGCAGACAGACAATGGTTCTCCTACGGCACAGTTGACACCAGGGAAATTCTTTCTGCAAAGCACCATATGAAATAGGGGAGAAGGGGACTATTTTAAGATAAATCAACATGTTTCCAGATTTTCAGGGCATCTGTCACCAGGCACTACAGTGTATGCTGGCTAATCCCACTGCAAATTTTATTTTAACCATTTCTTGACAGGAAAGTCTGTCAGTATGTGTCTGTACCCGTCATTAATCATGCCTGCGCCAGTGCCATTCTTGGGCTATGAACTGTAATCTGATTGGAAAGAATGATGTTTATCCTTGGTTTATACTAGTAACTGAGGTAAGAAATCCTATCACTCAGGAGTAGGGCAGGAGTCGGTGGTTCATTATAGGGATATTCTCGAGCAGATGTTCAGAACTGCTTGTTCAGAACTGACTGCCACACTGAAAAGTTATACTGTGCTGTAGGAATGTGGCTAATTTGTTTATTTCACTTCATGTCATTAACGTAATATTTTAATGAACGTGACAGATGCAAAACCACACATGTTGAAATCTTTCTGATGTTACTGATTTGAAAAGTGGTGTGATGTGGCATAACTAGGTTTCAGTCGATGGGCTGGGGCTCTCAGCTCAATCATACCAGTAGCTGCATCAATGTTTTCACTGTCTTCTGTCTGTCACTGTCTTCAGTTTTTAAGGGGTTCCTGTCTTTTAAGAGAGTGAGAGTTGGAAAAGAGGGTAGGAAAAGGTGGAAACGGGGAGAAAAAGAAAAACACAGAAATGGATGGTGAAACATTTAAAAGTGGTCCCATGTTGTAGGTTGAAGTTCAAGGTCGACCCACGGTCTGAAAAAGACTATTGAAGTCATGGATACAGTTTTTAATTTGGACTAGTTAAAAATAGCAATAGGCCATCGATAACAGAGGCAAAGTACGTAGGTAGCCTTGGGAAGAAAGATTCAATCTAGGTATAGTATTGTTGTTGTTGTTGTTTAGTCGTTTCGTTGTGTCCGACTCTTCGTGACCCCATGGACCAGAGCACGCCAGGCACTTCTGTCCTCCACTGCCTGCCGCAGTTTGATCAAACTCATGCTGGTAGCTTCAAGAACACCATCCAACCATCTCATCCTCTGTCGTCCCCTTCTCCTTGTGCCCTCCATCTTCCCCAACATCAGGGTCTTTTCCAGGGAGTCTTCTCTTCTCATGAGGTGGCCGAAGTATTGGAGCCTCAGGTTCATGATCTGTCCTTCCAGTGAGCACTCAGGGCTGATTTCCTTAAGAATGGATACGTTTGATCTTCTTGCGGTCCATGGGACTCTCAAGAGTCTCCTCCAGCACCATAATTCAAAAGCATCAATTCTTCGGCGATCAGCCTTCTTTATGGTCCAGCTCTCACTTCCATACATCACTACTGGGAAAACCATAGCTTTTACTATACGGACCTTTGTTGGCAAGGTGATATCTCTACTTTTTAAGATGCTGTCTAGGTTTGTCATTGCTTTTCTCCCAAGAAGCAGGCGTCTTTTAATTTCGTGACTGCTGTCACCATCTGCAGTGATCATGGAGCCCAAGAAAGTAAAATCTCTTACTGCCTCCATTTCTTCCCCTTCTATTTGCCAGGAGGTGATGGGACCAGTGGCCATGATCTTCGTTTTTTGATGTTGAGCTTCAGACCATATTTTGCGCTCTCCTCTTTCACCCTCAATAAAAGGTTCTTTAATTCCTCCTCACTTTCTGCCATCAAGGTTGTGTCATCTGCATATCTGAGGTTGTTGATATTTCTTCCGGCAATCTTAATTCCGGCTTCGGATTCATCCAGCCCAGCCTTTCGCATGATGAATTCTGCATATAAGTTAAATAAGCAGGGAGACAATATACAGCCTTGCCGTACTCCTTTCCCAATTTTGAACCAATCAGTTGTTCCATATACAGTTCTAACTGTCGCTTCTTGTCCCACATAGAGATTTCTCAGGAGACAGATGAGGTGATCAGGCACTCCCATTTCTTAAAGAACTTGCCATAGTTTGCTGTGGTCGACACAGTCAAAGGCTTTTGCATAGTCAATGAAGCAGAAGTAGATGTCTTTCTGGAACTCTCTAGCTTTCTCCATAATCCAGTGCATGTTTGCAATTTGGTCTCTGGTTCCTCTGCCTCTTCTAAATCCAGCTTGCACTTCTGGGAGTTCTCGGTCCACATACTGCTTGAGCCTTCCTTGTAGAATTTTAAGCATAACCTTGCTAGCGTGTGAAATGAGTGAAATTGTGCGGTAGTTGGAGCATTCTTTGGCACTGCCCTTCTTTGGGATTGGGATTGGGATGTAGACTGATCTTCTCCAATCCTCTGGCCACTGCTGAGTTTTCCAAACTTGCTGGCATATTGAGTGTAACACCTTAACAGCATCATCTTTTAAAATTTTAAATAGTTCAGCTGGAATACCATCACTTCCACTGGCCTTGTTATTTGCAGTGCTTTCTAAGGCCCATTTGACTTCACTCTCCAGGATGTCTGGCTCAAGGTCAGCAACCACACTACCTGGGGTGTACGAGACATCCATATCTTTCTGGTATAATTCCTCTGTGTATTCTTGCCACCTCTTCTTGATGTCTTCTGCTTCTGTTAGGTCCTTACCACTTTTGTCCTTTATTATGGTAATATTTGTACGAAATGTTCCTTTCATATTTCCGATTTTCTTGAACCGATCTCTGGTTCTTCCCATTCTGTTGTTTTCCTCTATTTCTTTGCATTGCTCGTTTAAGAAGGCCTTCTTATCTCTCCTTGCTATTCTTTGGAAATCTGCATTCAATTTCCTGGATCTTTCACTATCTCCCTCACATTTTGCTTGCCTTCTCTCCCCCGCTATTTGTAAGGCCTCGTTGGACAGCCACTTTGCTTTCTTGCATTTCTTTTTCATTGGGATGGTTTTAGTTGCTGCCTCCTGTATAATGTTGCGAGCCTCCACCCATAGTTCTTCAGGCACTCTGTCCAGCAAATCTAAATCCTTAAACCTGTTCCTCACTTCCACTGTGTATTCACAACGGATTTGGTTTAGATTGTATCTTACCGGCCCAGTGGTTTTTCCTACTTTCTTAAGTTTAGGCTTGAATTTTGCTATAAGAAGCTGATGATCTGAGCCACAGTCAGCTCCAGGTCTTGTTTTTGCTGACTGTATAGAGCTTCTCCATCTTTGGCTGCAGAGAATATAATCAATCTGATTTCGATGTTGGCCATCTGGTGATGTCCATGTGTAGAGTCGTCTCTTGTGTTGTTGGAAAAGCGTGTTTGTGATGACCAGCTTGTATAGTATGGGATAACCCTATATATGTCCCCTGAAGATTGGAATACAAACATTATGGATAAATGTGCTATGTCTGAGGTAACTCATCTAAAATGTTAACAACTAGAATTGAGATAAGTGGTGTGCAATCTTGGATTCTGTGGTGGAAGCCTCCTCTAAAGTGAATAGGCTCAACTTATGAGTCTCTTCACTCGCATTTACAGTATCTGAGGCAGTGTCATCCAGATCTGTCTCCTGTCAAACTTGGTATAAGAGCTGACTTACCACTCTGCTGCTTTCTTCCCCCAGTCCCTAGCCTAGAAATCACCCGTGACCCCCAGTGTGCCCACTCTTCCTATGGTGCCCACAAAATATCTCAGTAAATATCCCTTCCACAGTCCACCATACACAGTGGACGGTTTGCTTTCCCTGCTCAATTTCTGTTTGCACAGGCTCAGCCTCTTCTGCCTTGAACACACTGCTTATGTATGTCCACATTTCAATGGAAGCCAGAATTGAACATGCTCTTATCTATTCTGAACAGAGGAGAGGTGCAAAGAACTTCTCTCTGTGAATGAGAGCCTTTTTGCCATTGATGGGGCAGCTGATGGGTGGCCATGTCCACACAATTTAGTGGTCCCTTTCTCCTTTTTTAAATCTTGTGTTATGCTATGCACCCCCAAGCGTGCTTACTGTCTCCAAAAGGCTGGCAATCCCTGCCCTAGCTGTTACAGCTGTGTCATGCAAGGGTCTTGCAGCACTTTGAGGGACAATATTAGTTGTCCTGCCCATGCTCATACGATGGGATAGCTCAGTCGGTAGAGCATGAGACTCTTAATCTCAGGGTTGTGGGTCCTGCCCCATTTGAATAAAAGATTCCTGCATTACAGGGGGTTGGATAAGATGACCCTCACAGTCCCTTCCAACTCTACAGTTCTATGATTCTATGATCCTTTGAGTGTCTATAGTCCATAGGAGACACAGAGGCCAGCACAACTTTTTAAGCCTTTTGTGCTGGCTCAGCTAACATGCATCCTTGCCTTTGAATCAAAGGACCTTGGTCCTTCTAGTCCTATGGATTGCTGATGGCATCTACTGTATTTGGTGGTTCCATTATATTCACCACATAAGTAGGGCTAAGCGATCTATTGCTATATCGTCCAAAACCAGTTTGAAGTCCATATTGTGATACCGATTTCATATTTTTTTTTCTGGCAATATATGTGTATGTGTGTGTGCTATGCAAAAATCATGATGCAGGAAAATCTGTGAAGCCAGCCAGTGCCTCTATATAGCTCTATACTCATTTCAGTTTATTGCACTGTTTAGCTGGTGATATATCACAGAGTTGAAAACCAGATATTCCCCAGCCCTACACACGAGTAGGGATATTGTTTTGGGCTTAAGGCAGTATATCTAAGTGTTGGGTACAACACATAAAGATAACTGGAACTGGATGTTACTCAGCGTAGTTTCTTCATAACCAAAGGAATAAGAGTCTTTGTTGTTTTTTAAACTGCAGCAAAAGGTGGAATCTGTAGCTGCTATCAAAAAATCATAGAGTCATGCGTATAGGGAACATATTTTCTTTGATCAACAATATGTTCTTCCTCTCAAACAGCTTGCTCCTCATGAGGTCAGAAAGTGTTTGGCTAGAGATTTTCCCTCTTGCTGTTTCATCTTCCCATTCTGTCTTTCCTGTCAAAGGCTGAAAGGAGTCGAGTGAAATTGAAACAGGCACTTCCTTGACACTGAGAACATTCATGCTTCACCCCCAATATAGATGATCTGTGTGCTGCAGAAGCATCCAAACATCCGCTTCTGACCAGGCTGGCACCAGCTTTCCATACTGTATGGTCAGGAACCACTGATAAAGTACATCACATGTCAAAGAGGAGACAACAAAGGTGTGGTAACGATAGCTGACATGCAGCGTAAAACTCAAACACTATTTTCTCTGGTGCAGCCAAGTGGTGCATGATTACTTAAGGGCAGAACTAGATGAGAGACATGGCTGATTCACACCATACATTGAAATCACATTCATTGCTCATGTAAAGCACATGACTTCTGGGAGAATGCTGGCAACTGTAGTTTCCCAGAGTTGCAATTCCCACCATGCTCATAGAGTTACAATTCCCACCATGCTTAACAAACTACAGTTCCCAGGATGGGGGGGGGGAGCCATGTGCTCTAAATGTGCTTTAAATGTATGGCGTGGGTCTGCCCACACTGTTAATGGTTGTTTAGTATCAATCTCTTCCTCACAAGTTGCGCTTAATTTAATATCGTCACACTGTGCATTGCCCACCTCTATCAGCGGCTGCCAGTAGAAATGGCAGCAGTGTTCATCATACAGCAGCAGGTTGTTGCATCATATATTGTATTAATTTCAATGAGGCAATTGGATGTGGTGGACAGGTGATACAGAGTAGTTTAGCTCCATGTCTCTTCAAACATCTGGTTCTTCAAGTATGTACAGGTACAATTCCCTAGTTTCCCATCCCTCACTATCCTTACACATTTATGCCCATTTGCCTTAATTTGCATGTTGTACTTTATATTTGCAAACTGAATTATTCAGTCTATATAAACTATGCACTCTTAAACAAATTTGCACCTTTTGTTTTGTTTTTCATACTTTATTTTAATTCTGCTAGTCAGGAGGAGCAGTAAGGAACTCTACAACAGCCTCTGAGCCCTAGAAATCTTATTCAGCAACTCCCAAAGCTTCTAAAATTTCAGTTGGTGTTGTCTGCACACTTTCAGTCAATTAGAATAAATCCACTTTCGAATATATCTTTGCAAGCTAAGTTTTCTTAGAAAACTGAATTTTGTGGCTATCACACAGGACCTTAGACCATTCCTGTAAGTCAGGCTGTCATGTATCTTATGCCCATTCTCTTTAAATTTTTCACTTATTGGGTTTTCTGAGATAGAGAGAAACCTGAAATAAATGATTTAAATAGATGTTGTTGTTGTTTTTTAAATGTTTGGCCTGTTGATGACATTGTTGTGTGGAGGTTACAGAAAAATCTATGAGCATGAGCAGCACCAATTCCACAATAACTTCCTATCTAGAAGTGTTCAAGGTAAAAAAAAAAAAAAGCCATCCATCTACAAAACTAATTCTAAATTGGACTTTAGTTCATGTTCTTTGGATTCTACCCCTTGAAAATATATTCTGTTCTCTGTAAGTAGCTGACAGACTGAGGCAACTCTTTGTCATTGTTGCTTGATGTTTCATATCTGACAAGGTGAACATAAAACTGGCAGTGCTGGGCTATTGTCTGAAACAGTCTGAGAGGATTTTACTCAGGGACATTCCTTATGAAACTTATTACTTCTGGGCTGTTGGCAATCCTTTTAAGGAGCAACACATCTTTGGGTGTAAACCCCTGCTGTTTGTATTGGAGTGTAGGTTTAAAGAGACTGGAAAGAGGTGGGAGGGTTTGTTTATATTGTTATTTGTGTGTATATCTCAGAGCCCATGGGCAATATGGTACATTAGAAATCTGTGAATAAATACAATTAAATTTTAAGCAGTGGAAAAAATTACCCAAGCAAGAGCTCCAATCTCATACCTATTATTTATTCACAGGGCAGAGAATGTTATATTCATTCCTTGTCAATGCAATGCTTCCATCGTGGAAGAGCTTTCTGATCATGTGAGGAACTTTCTGATCAATTCTTTTATTTCTTAGGAGTGGGCATATAGCTTAAGGGCAGAACATATGCTTTGCCGGTAGAAGGTTCCTGGTTCCTATCTCTCCAGGATATTAAAAAAAAAATCAGGTAGAATGACTGGAAAATACTTCTGCTTGAGAATCTGAGGAGCTGTTGTCATTCAAAGTAGACTGCTCAGGACAAGATAGGTCAGTAGTCTTCCTCAGGTCAAAGCAGTTTTTGTATGGTCATTTATCTGCTAAGAGTGCCATCAGTCTCTGACATCTTTACTACCTTTGTGAATCTGTGACATACACTTGCCATCCCCTCTATGGTATCTAATGAGTATCAACTACACCTGCAACAAATGTGGAAAAGTGTCCAGATCAGTGCGCCACTGTACTAATAGGATCTTGTTTGCGGACAACTTGATATTTGACAAACTGAGTTTAAGGAGAGCTACAAGGATGGTGAAGAGTTCAAAAACAGAAGGAAATCCATTTTTGGATGGTTTAATGGATTAGAATATTTAGGCAAGGGTTATCCTTTCCTAGGGCATTGTTTGAAGTGGCTACCTGCAAGATCCATTCTAACAAAGATTCTGTTATCTGTGACTAAATACTGTGCCCACTTCTCTGGGGTCTTAATAACCATGCTGCAGCTACAAACCAGAATGAGCTCCACTTCCAGTAACTTCCAGAAAAAAATGCAATTCAGTACGCATCTAAAGACAAATCAGACTGGCACGGATGTCCTTCCAGATGTTTTTGGACCATAGCTCTCATAATCCCTGATCAGTCACCATGTTGGCTTGGAATTATGGGAATTGTGGTCCAAAACACCTGGAGGGTGTCATGTTGAGGAAGACTACAGTTTTCTTATAGACACTAAAACTAAAACTGTCTCTAATCCTAAGGCTAGAACTCAGAGTCACCCACTGACATTGATTGGCAGTAGATTTGAGACAGACATAAGGAAGCACTTCACGTATTTATCCTACTACTGCGGGATTGGGGGGGGTGGAATAATCATTAAGGTAGGCAGCTTTTTTTAAAAGGATTAGAAAAAATAATGAGGGGAAATGTTAGCTGTCCTTAGCCAGGATAGCAATACTGAGCTTCCTATTCAAGGGCTATATACCTTTGAATATCAGATACTGGACATAGACAATGGGGAAGGCCAGTAAATTTATGCCCTGACTGTGTGCTTCTAAAGATGGTTAGAGTTTTTGGACTAGATGGTGCTGATCTGATCCTGCAAGCTAGTTCTAATGTGTGTGTATTGAGGTTTATTTATTAAACAATACTGTATATAGCTATAGATATAGATATAGATATAGGATATAGATATATATTGTCTTTAGGCCTTCTGAGGCAATTTATTAACAATTAAAATTTCAACACTATTAAAACCAGGAAACATTAAGAACAAGCCAAGATAGAACATATAAAACAAATCCACAAACAGGCAAGACTACTAGCTTTTCTTTGTTTTCCTTGAGCCAATACATTTTTTAAAAAAACATAAAGTGGGAGGGGGGAGAGAAGGAGCATGGGAAGAGGAAGGAGTAAAAAACATATTTAAGCGTATTTTGATTTGTTTAAGCTGTCAAGACCTGCCTCACAGCATCTGTAGAAGTATGAAACCCAGTGGGTAGCTAATTTCCTACCCACACTAGTCCAAGAGCAGGTCATTTCACACAGGTGTTTGCAATAGTCAGATTCCTCAAGCATCCCAAGACAGCCATGCAATACGTTTTGCCAGCATAGCGGGGTTTATGAACACCCCACCTCAAATACCCCACCTCCAGAAATCTTTGCAAATACTTGACAAGCTGGTTTGGGTACTCAGGGGAGTTCTGAAACTCTGGTGTTACATTCAGAATTCCTTTTGAAAAACGTTAATGTTGAGGAAAAACACGATAGGCCTCTTGCGTCGGTGCTGCAGTCATAATTGGCATCTCTGGATCACTAAAACTGAAAATGAGACCCATATGCAAACGCAAAGCCTGATAAAGTCCCAAGAAATCAAACCAAAATACGAAGATCACATCATGTGTTGTAAACTCCTTTGCTTTTGAAGACATCCATAATGCTCCGTGTACCTTACCAATGATCATTAAATGCCATTGCTGAGGATAGAGCTGAAAAATGCCCTGTTAAAGGCAGGAAGGAACTTTTAATTATTATTTTTTTAAAAGATATTT